ACCTACATAACACACAATAAGTATGTTACGTCATTTTTAGGCGCTACTCATTAAATAACATACTACATGTTGTATGAGGATAGGTAGCCTGAGTGGGCGGAAGTTTGCCGCAGAGGTCAGCCTCTCATTGGGCGGAACGAGCCACCCGCCAAGGTCCCGCCCTACCACCTCCAGTTGTGTAGCAGTTTTCAACCATTTTCAACATGTCCTTTACTAACTTTTGCAGTGTTTGGTCTTGTGGGGATGTAGCCATTTTTCTGCCATGGTTCGCGTCCTGTAGGCGATATTTTTGTGGCCGTGTTACACCAAAACCTGTTTCCCCCCAGCAATATTTTTTTTTTTTTTTTTTAAAGATATGTTTTTAGGCATTTTTGCCTTTAATGTATAGGACAGCCAAGTGTGAAGGGGAGAGAGAGAGAGGGGGATGACATGCAGCAAAGGACCACAGGCTGGACTCGAACCCGGGCCGCTGCGGCAACAGCCTTGTAGGGGCGCCTGCTCTACCATTAAGCCACCGACACCCCCTGGTAGTGGCTTTTATATATATATATGTTGACTCCAGGTGCATAATTGGTCAAACAGTTATAGTCAGCAATCGTGCACACACGCAAATACACGCACTGTATAGTACATGTACAGTGTAAGAGTCTACACATCCTTTCACTTTTCTTTAAACAGGTGAGATTAACATCTAAATCAGTGCAGAAGACAATTAGGGATGGTAGTGTTTATCCAGCCAGCTAAAGATGTGATGCAGTCTGCTTCTAGACTTCCACATTAAATATATCACTACTCAAAGGTCACAACACGCTCACACACGCCTACACATAGGGTGACACATATGGAGTGGCACATTAAGGTGACCACAGCATCAATATACACAAGGGAAATATAGTGCAATATCTGGTACAGTTACTGTCTCTTTGTTTCATTGTATTTTTTCAAATACATGTTGGTGTGTATGCTGCATAACACTGTAGTGAAAAATATCAGCATGCTCAATAAATTGCATGCTGTATCAAGAATCTATCAGCATTTTCTTATTTAATGACTTAGTGCCCATAATGAACTTATAATGCATTCATAATTTCCTCAAGAAGACTGCCAAAATTCCTATTTATCATTTCTGTGTATTCAGATATGCATCCCACTTTGGTAATTGAATCTCAGCTTGAAGTTTCATTGAGTGAATCTGAGTCATTAGTGTGTCATCAGTGCTTCTTGGGTAAAATGGCAAATAAAAATGGCACAAGCCTAAAATTTATAATTATAGTGATTGGTTGTATTACAGATTGGTGTGTGTGTTTTGCTCTCTGAGTGGAGCCAGAACAAGCTGATTTGACAATTCCACACATGAGCCGATGAGGATGTGTGTTTGCATGTTTGAGTGCATGCATGTTTTTTGTGCGGACATGTGTGTATGTGTGTGAAAACCATTGACTGTGATAATGGAAGTCAATACAGCCTGTGTGATTCGGCGTCCTGTGGGAGAGTTTGTCTTTGATTAGAGCCCGGCAGATAATGGCTGAGTGCACAGGAACCTTAATTGTCTCCCTGAATCACTGCACTGTGACATGACCGACTGACTCCTCTCTCCTGAGTACATACAGTAGTCAATTATGGCCTGGCATTTCTTAGTAAGGTTTTCATGTGTTATTCTAAAACATCTTTGGCCATAGAGGGATACTTTGTCAATTTTCAACCAGCTTTGTATCATGACAGTGTGGCTAGTATGTGTAAATGAACTGTGGTAAACTTCTCACCAGCGCCCAGATCTCCCTGAACTCTCAGCTCAGCTTTTTGCTGGCTCCGGGGATGTTGTTCAAACTACAGATTGTACTTCTGCTTTTTTATATGCCCACCACCACAAATACAAAGACTATACAAGTGAATAGAGAGGCCCACCCCTCTCTTTCTCTCTCTCAAACTCAGACCAAACTCCATTCAAACTGTAACATCTAAGTGCTGATCAAATACAAACCAAGATTATGTTAGAGTATTGCCTGTTTCTCAACCTAAATGTCTTCAGAAACATATTTTAGTGCACTGTTTGGCTGTGATATGAGAATTTGTGAACAGAAAGTAGGCAACACACTGTTTCCTGTAGGGTTGGGTCGGTTCTCGGTAATATCAATTAGGTTCGGTACTCCGTCTTGGACCGTTTTTTTTTTTTTTTTTGAGACCGACCGGACCGCATACTCGTGCGGAACGTAAGCGGAGCGGACTACGCAGAGGTCCGCCCGGTAAAAGTGGACGTCCGCAAGCCTTGTGCGCGCAAAGCACGACCGTGCGGACTCCGCTCTGCGCACCAGTGTCACACAAAAGACTGTTCGGTATGTATTTTTCACATCGTGGGGATTTTTCACAGATATTTTTACAGGGAGTCCGCTCCGCTTATAGTACGCCCGAGTCTGTGAGCACCTGTGTCTGCCTCTTCGCCAAGCGCACAGCGAACAGGAGAGAGAGGGGGGTGGGGATGGGGCGGGGACTGAGCTAGGGGGTGCGAGCGCGCATGCGCCGAGGCCTCTACTGTAGCCTGGGGAGTCGATAATGGGGGACAATTTAGTCTCAAAGAAATCAAAGAATGCACCACTATGGCAACACTTTGGCTTTGAGCCAGACGAAGGAGGCAACCCTTGTTTGCACTGATTGAGTAAGCTGCAAAATTTATTTGTCAGGAATAAAAGAAACAACTTGTTACTGTCACTCTGTGTCACCCTTTTTATTTTTAAATGAGTCAATTGCGCCCCCAAGTGGCGAAAACCCGGTATTACCGACTTGATACGTTTTTTTTTTTTTTTTTTTTTAGAAAAACCTGACCGTTTTTTTTTTTTTTCCCTCATATCGACCCAACCCTAGTTTCTGTATTGAAAAAATGGAGTTGGAAAAAAATGAGATCAAAAGGTAAAACTGAGCAGCTCTGACTAAATATGGTAAGATTCTGTTACTGTGTTGGCTGTTTTTTGCCTTAAATGTTTTAAGACACGTTAAAGCCTCTCAGCCTCCTGTCACTATACCATAGGCCCTACGCAGCCTCCAGCAAGCGCCACTGACCCAGGCTGCGCTCTGCTCCTCCGCGAGTGAACCAGAGGGAAGGTGGGAGGTCAACAGGGCCCATGTCCACAGCCGAGGGCCCTGTTGGCTTTCCTCCAGTGTCTACATACCTCTGGATGTGGAGCTGTGGATTTTACCTTCTTTATTTTTTGCAGGGAATCCATCCCCCTGCTCACCAAACATTTCTTCACTATGATTGGATGAACATTTTGTGCTCTTGCCAGTCACAGCACAGAAGGGCGTGACAAGGCACAGCATGCTTGTGGGAAAAAAATCCCCAACTAGGGCTATTTCATCCCATTACCAAATGTTTGAAAGGGCAACTTTTTATGGTTATATTAAAGCTATTGTGTTGTACACCGCTAGGGACGTAATTTAGGAAATGCTCCTCAGAGGGTAGAAACATACTACCTATGTCGTCAAATAGGTTGGAGGACTTTTTGTGCAGTTTACATTGATAACGATGGCAGATGAACCACTCACTATTTATTTTAAATAAATTTCAAACAAACAGAGGCAGAGGAAATGAGCATGCTCATTTCAAGCCAGTGACTGTCAACTTTTCGGCTGAAATACCAACTGTCGTAGCAGATTTTATCACCTGCAGCTAGCGAAATAAGCTAATGCATCGTGACTAGGCCAAAATATATATGCTGTGTTTTTAATCCACTCTTTATAATTTTGCTCTTGTGTTTGTGATTTTGGAAAGACTGAAAAAAGGAACAGCTCTCCAAACTCTACAGCCTCGTGCACACAGTTTTAACATGAGGAGAAACCCAAAGCTTGACAGGCCTTCTGTGCCCATAGATACGGTTGCTAGGCTATGATTGGATGGTCACTGCTCGGGGGAGGTGTTTTTTAAGCGAACAGTCAAATCCCTGAATAATTAAAAGGTGGCAGTGATAAGGTCATTAGAGTTTAAGCAGGCACTCCGGTCTTATCTGAAACAGCCAACTCCTCTGACAGTTCACCATGTACACACTGTCAGCAGTGCACCTAAGAGACTCTTTGATGCTGTCACCAGCACGTCATTTCTTTTTCATTCCCTCTCTTCGATTAAGTCTTGCTCAGGTGAACAAACTTCAAACTTTACACATTTAGAGGTTTTGAATTGATTTCCCCTCAAGGTATCATTGTGGAAGTTATGACAATTTAAAACAGGTCTATGAAAATGATAGATTACCTATAGATCAATACGCTGAGAGCTGAATGTTGTATGAGCTACAATGCTCCATTTGACTTTGGGAGTCAGTATGGTTTGGAGTAGTGATTGAGGCTGACAACTGAAGACAGGATCAATTTCTGGGCTTTCTTTCTTTCTTTCTTTCTTTTGTCATAATGCTGTTGTGTTTAATAAGGTGGATAACATTTCAGTCTGGCCTTGTGTTGTTCCTGCTGAATCTGAAACAATATACAGTAAAACCACAAAACAGCACTTTTGATTCCCCTCGGGCCAGGCTTTAAGCTCAAACTAAAAGGTTTTTAAGGTTTGAAACAAACTTTCAGGCTAGAGTCCTAACAGTGTATCGGGGGGAGACTTGGAGGGAACAGAGGTAGAAATTGAGGAGAGAGTGAGGGAAAGGAGAGGGAGAAGAGTTAAAGATACTAGTCTATTTTTACTTGTTATTTTTGCCTCCCCGCACGCTCCCTGTCCAATAAACCCTTCGACCGTCAAATGGATGCAAGGAAGGAACTCAGAGAGATTTGTGCTGGAAAATCTTTTCAGAGGAGTGAAAGGAACAGAGCAACAAGAGAGGCTGTGCTGTGATATGTGAAAGACAAAGGATAAAGGAAAAGACAATACTTTTTTTTTTTTTTTCAAAATAAAGTCTTTTTATGGATATCTTGGTATTAAAACCTTTGACAGAAAGTCTCGCTTTTAGTTTCAAATGAGCTTTATAAGTGACATACTCGATCAGCCTTTTTATCCCCTTCTGTTTCCCCAGGTTTATGAGAGAGGAACCAATGTGGAGCAGTTTGTAACCCGTTTCCTGCTGAAGGAATCAGCCAATCAGATCCAGTCTCTCCTGAGCTCTGTTGAGAGTGCCGTGGACGCTATTGATGAGCAGCACAGCCAATCAGGGTGAGCCAGGCTGTTATGTGTGAAATTGGGAATCCATGTGTGCGTGCGTGTGTGTGTGTGTGTGTGTGTGTGTGTGGTCATAATGGAAACCAGGCAGTGTTTCAAGCACAAATCATTTCTAGTTAAAACATCTGTCACTCACACACCCACACATACACACCCACACACACACACACACACACACACACACACACACACAAACAGGTTTTCATCTTCTTTATACAATTTTCATCATCTATCTTTCCCGTATTCTTCTTCCTTATTCCCTGTGGATCCTTCCGTCAACCATCCTAATTCCGTTATTATTCTTCCCCCGCTCTCTCTTTCTCCTTCCTTCGCCCATCCACAATCCCACACTATTTTTCTCATCATCTAATTCTCTTTTATACCCTTCTCTTTCCTCCCTCTCGCTGCTTTCCAGTCACCTACCTGCCAAGGTGAGTCCTCGGATGTCAGAGAGGCGCAACGAAAACACCATCCCTGACTATCCCCCCAACAACAGAGTCAGTGCCAGGGAGGCTGTCAGGACCATCAACACTGCTTCAGGTGACAAATAACACACACACACACACACACATATACACCCTGCAGCACCCCCTCAGTATTCATGGTTGGGGGCCATCCGTCATGCGCTTGTACTGTATGATTAGCCTCATATCCCAACCTTTAGTGACGGGGACAACACTCTGGGTGAGCAGAAATCAAACTCTGGCTGCCACTCAGCAGTTTTTCATCCTCTCTCTCACACACATACACACACACACACTCTCTCATCCCTTCGAGATTTATTTTCCATTGTAAAAGACCTCAATCAGTCACCTGCACAGGTTTGATGCAGCGTTCCTGCAGCAGTCAGGGCAGCACAGATTAAGTGGTGGAGAAAGAGGGAGCAGGGTTTGCAGAAGGGAGAGGTGAAGAAAGAGAAGAAGTCGAGGATGAGGGGACAAAAAATGGAAAGAAGGCTGAGGAAGCAAAGGTACGACGGAGTATTAGGGCCACATTGAAGAAAAAAAATTCAGAGATTTCGAGAATAAAGTCAAATATTACGAGAAAAAACTCGTAATATTTCGAGAATAAAGTCATAACTGAGAAAAAGTCATAATATTACGAGAATAAAGTCGTAATTTAACGAGATTAAAGTCATAATATTATGAGAATAAATGTTAAGTTCCGGTTTTGTTTGAACCCCAAAGCAGATACTGATGCAGGTAAGTAACAAAAAAAAAGGTTTATTAATAACACGAAAAAACAAAAGAGCAGGCAGTGGAGGCAGGGAGCTGGCTGGCTCGTAGAATATTCACCGAAGGATGGATTGAAAAAACTCAGGCACACTGTGAGGCACAAAGGACGACCTGAGCACAACAGGAAAAAACCACAGGTAAGTTCAAAAGAACTCTAGCAACACTAGAAGAACAGGCAGCAAAAATACGGCTATGCAACAAGTTGATCACAAGATACAAAATGTAAGAACACAGAGCTCTACCGAACATGACGGAATTATCTGGCAGCATAGTGAAGTGAAGACCAGGCTTTTGTAGACAGGAAGATGAGGTGAGTGAAGACAGGTGTGCCTCATCTGCTGCTGCAGGAGAGGCCAGCCACACCCCCTGACACACACATGCACTGCAGAACAGAAAAGAGGGGAGGGAGAGAGAGCAAACACAAAAACATACCACAGGAACCAAAATCATCACAATAAAGTCGTAATTTAACGAGATTAAAGTCGTAATATTTCGAGAATAAAGTCATAATATTACGAAAATAAAGTCATAATATTACGAGAATAAAGTCTTAATTTAACGAGATTAAAGTCGTAATATTTCGAGAATAAAGTCGTAGTTTTTAAGGAAATAACCAACAACAAACAGAATATCAGATTGTCTTTCATGCCGTTGTAAGTAACCTACTTAATTAGGTTCGGGAACCGGCACCGTGCCGGTTCTGTGTCAGTCGAAAGTCCGGGCCCAACTCTGCCACTGATTGGCCAGTCTGACATCCTTCATAATACATATAGAACGTTAGTGAAACACATAGGCCTCACAGAAACATGCATTGGTTTGGGGACAAGTTAGTGGTCACGTTACTCGTTCCACAGGTGAAGGACCCCGGACACATAGCCTACAGTAAATACACCACACCAGTTGTAGCCTAAGTAACTTTTAACATACGTGAGTCTTTGTGACTCTTGACTCTTGTCCCATAACTAGGGGACCCCCTAACCCCTAACGCATGTTTCTGTTTCACTAACGATATTTTCACCCCATTAAGTCACATCCTATTATTTCCTCTGAAAACCTAACGTTACAGCAGCCTACAAGCATGCTGTGTCAATAAATCAGCTCAGACACTGTTAGAAATGTAGTATTTAGCCTAATAATATCATGCTACAGCAGTAATAACGTCAGCTTTAGTCAAATGGCTCTAGCTCTCCCGGTAAATGTCATAAACTCTGGACACATTTTCCCTGTATGCTGACATGATAATGGCCGCGTTTCCCAGATCGCTCTTAGCTTAAGAAGATCTTTCACTAAGAAGGAGTTGTAAGATCGAGCTGACCCACTCTTAACAGTCTTCTTAGCCACCAAACGCTCACAGATCCAGCCGCGGCAGGCACATTAATATTACACTAGCCTAAGCAAGGAGATGTTGAAACAGTGATGGAGACAGTGATGCAGACAGTGGTGGGTGATTGATGTGCCTGACATCGATTGATTTAGAGTTTCAGCACCGCGGTAGTGGCCAGCTCCTGTTAAGATATAAACAGAATGAAAGTGGACAAGGTAATTACAGAACTTGTCTTGAGAAATAGCTTTCAAATTGAATCAGAGATTAAATGCATTTTCAATAGAGGCAACTTTTTAAATTAGGTTATTGCTTTCTTTTCACTTTCTGCATCCATTTAAGATTTTACTTGAGATCACTCTTTAAGAAACTCTTAACAGGAGCTGG